AAAGTGACCAGTCTCAGGTCTGTTGACCCGCAATTCTGCAGACAGGAGACCAAGACTCACAGGCAGCAGGTAGCAATTGTCTGGAGCCTTACACAGAGCACTGTGTCTAACAACATTATGAGACTGACTCTTGAGCCCCACCTTCCCTATTGAACAAGGACTGCTTGGCTACCAGGGATCCAGTGCCCTTGGGAGGTGAGGACCAGCAAGCCTGGACTGGGCAAATTCCACTAAGGTGGTGGACACCATCCCTAGGCTGCAGGCTGGCACTGTGAGATGCCACCCACAGCAGGACTCAAGAACAGGGGCAGGTGCAGGGGCCACTCAACTTTCTCTCCCAGGTGCTTCGAGCTAGGGCAGAGGTTGGGAGATCTACTGAGGTTCCTGACAACCCCATAGGGTTGTAGAGAGGCCTGTCTGAGGTGTACAGAGAGTGGGGAGCTGTTCTTACCTATATAGTGAGAGAAATGGAGCCAGATCTTCAGACTGGGTGGGGATCCTGTTCAGAGTGCCTTACCCACACAGGCACAGGGGTACTGCACAGCATCTCAGAGGCACACACAGTCACTGGCTGAGCCTGGCCGGGAATAACCTGGCTTGACTCCAGAGACCCTAGTGAATTTCAGCTGTATTCAAACCCAGAATGGATGATGGAAATGTTTCATCTCTTAAAATCAAAGAAAAAAAAAAGTCAAGAGTGATTTCACATGAGATGGCACATAAACTCAGGACGTTGGAGCAGAAGGATCGAAGTTCAAGATCTGCTGGGTGTGGTGGCGCACACCTTTAATCCCGGTGCTTGTGAGGCAGAGGCAGGCGGATCTCTGTGAGTTCCAGACCAGTCTGGTCTATATAGTGAGTTCTACCAGCCAGGGCAACATAGAGAGACCCTGTCTCGAAGAAAAAGAAAAAGGGGGGGGGTAAGGAAACGAGGGAGGGAGGAAAGGAGGGAGGGAGGGAGGGAGGGAGGGAGGGAGGGAGGGAGGGAGGGAGGGAGGGAGGAGGAGAAATGATCACTTTGAGTTTTGCCCACTTTGGCACCTGTGTGGTTAGGGGGGCACTCTTGCTGTTTTGTGGAGGGAGGATCGTGGAGGTGGAGACACAGGACACCTGAAGTCACACCACACTTCTGGCCTCCTCAGATCTGGTTACTGAGCAGCCAAAAATCTGGGGGATGGGGAGCACCGGCCACACTGGGAAAAGACAAGGAAGGAGGAAAGAGAGGGCGGAGGAGGGAAGGCAACTCCAGGAGCTGTAACTAGGACAGAGGTCATACCCAGTGTCTCCAGAGCTCACTGAGGGAGGGCAGGGGTGCAGGGCACTGCCCTGGGCAGCAGTGTTTTACGTTCCTCTGTGTGGACATAGGGATGGGCTTTCTGTCTACAGGCAGGGGGATTAAGCTGCTCATAAGCAGCTAAGAACCCCATGTGTAGGGTGAAGAGTCCACGAGCAGAATGAAACCCACACAAGGGTTACAAGAGAGGCCTTCTGCAGCCCAGTGCACCCAAAACCATTGGAGCCACTCCTGTAGCTTAGACAGACAGACAGACAGACAGAGCTGCCAGACCTCTGTGAGTTCGAAGACAGCCTGGTCTATACAGTTGCCTCTGGTCACCATCTCAGCAGCTCCAGCGTAGGCACCAAGAACCCAGACCCCACTCACTTCAAGACAATGCTGAACCCTGGAGGCGCCTCTGTTTCTGGGCTTGAAGACAGTCCAGACTGAGTTCTGGAGGACTGGGGGACTCTGTGCCTGCTGTCCTATACCTGTTCAATAGAGGGCAGTGTGTTGTGCCTTTAGCCCTGGCTCTGGATCCAACCAAGGAGTCACCAGATAAGTACAGGCTGGATTTGAATTTCAGATAAACACAGTAATGCATGCTCATCTGAAACCAAAGTCATACCAGGTCTGGCTTTTCTTTGCTAACTCCAGCGAGCTTCTTAGACACAGGACAGGTAACCCTAAGGACTGAGAGTGGTTCTCGGGGACTAGAACCTCAGAGAGGGAGCAGCCGGAGGGAAAAAGCTGCAGCCCAGCCCTGACTCTGGCGCTTGCTCAGGAGAGGCGGGGCAAGGTGCTGGGAGGGTTGAGCTCCTGGACCTTGCCTTTCACATCTTGACCACAGGGGAAGGAACTGGCTCATTGCCTTCCCCTGAGGACTCTTAGGTTGAGGCCTTCATGCTGTGAAGGGTGTGGTGCTGGTCAAAGACCAGAAAAGTGGGTCTACCGGCTCTGGGATGGCTGCGTTCATACCTCATGCTGTTGACAACCCCTAGTCTTGAACAGCACATGGCTTGCATACAGCTTCCTTCTCCATCCAGATACCTGCCCTCATCTCTGCCTACCTGGGTTCCTAAAACCAACAGAGTGTGTGTGTGTGGTGTGTGTGTGTGTGTGTGTGTGTGTGTGTGTGTGTGTGTGTGTGTGTGTGTGTCCGTCCTGTTCTCTGGTTGGAATCTCCCTGGGTCCTTTAAGTCATGAATCCACCTGGAATTTAACTGGGTTCCTGATGTGAGTCAGGAGTCATGAGTCACCATTACAGCCTTTGGGAGTTGCTACATGTCTAAGAACAACCTGCCCTCTCACACAGAGGGAAAAGATGAGTTTAGAGACCCTCGGTCCCTAGAAAGGGGTCTCTATAGAACAAAGAAGAAAAAAAGAAGGAAGTGGGGGGTCAGACAGGAATGACAGAGGTTCTCAAGTCCCGCACAGCCTCTGTGCCCCAGCCTCTTTCGAACATTCAAACCCCTCAGCCATCCCTCTCTGTGGACCCTGGCCTCAGCTCATCAATTCTGGACATGTCCACATCCCCAGGTTCACCCAGGCTCACAACCTCCTGGTTCTATAGTATATGGGAGGGAGGAACTTTCATTCAGTTCTTCCCCAAAGCTCAGGGTGTACATGGAGGGCTTCTTGCGGGGAGGCACAGAGCAGCTGTTAGAACCAGATGAAGAAAGAGAAATGATAGAGTAGACCAGGGCTGGGATGGAGTGGGCAAGAAGCCACCTGCCCCTAACAACAGGGCCTGGCAGGACCCTGGGGATGCTACCCCTGCCCTGCACACAGGCAACATGGGTCCCATAGCCCAGAGCCTGACTTAGCTTACGAGAGGAACAAAGACAGTGGGTCTCCTCTGCCTTCTCTGGACTCCGTGGAAGGCCTGTGTGGGTCACTTGGGGTTCACACTAGAAGTGGGGCTCCGAGAAAAGACCACACTAACAGCTCACAAAGGATAGTCTCAGCAGGTATCACTAAGGCCAGGGCAGTATTGTCCTCCCTCCCTCTTGACAGAGGAGAAACCAGTGGCCTGGGGGAAAGGGCCTACCTGGACTTCTAGTCAGAAGAGGCATGCAGGACCCAAGCTGGGCTTCAGACTGCAAATCTGAAAGCCTGATCGCAGCCTTCATCTTATCTTGCCAGGATTGTGGTTCCCATAGAGCTTGTGAGCCTTTGACAAGGCTCCTGGGCAGAGCTGTTGGAGACACCAGTTGTAGCTAGGGGGTGGGAAACAGCCTGCTGTCTGTCCCTGAGGGGTGTTGGGAAGTTGGAGGGGATTGGAGGGGAGCAGCCACATGCTTACATGCTGACCAGACCAGGGCTCTCCAACCATGCTCTCATCCCCACCTCAGTCACAGAATGGGGCCTGGTCTCGGGTAGCTTCCACTGTGGCCTCTAGAATTCAGATAACGGGGAGGCGGGAGAGCAGAGCCCACCAGGCAGGGTGCTGGCTGCACAGAGGAGAGAGGATGGGGCTCCCATCAGGTGACAACAGCCCAAGCCAGGCACCCCAAGACTAGCCAGACAGAGGCAGCCCCTCCCTAATGGGCAGCCTGGGGTGAGGTGGCAGTGGCTGCTTGGGCTCCGTTCCTGTCCCTCTCCAACTGGCCTGAGGAGCAGCCAGTACAGCTGACTGCGTCGGGAACGCCAGCTGGGCCAGAGGTCAGGTGGTCTGAGGACTTCACCATGTGCCGCCAACGGCTTGGCACATCTGTCATTGCCTCCCCCTCACATGCTGGAAACCTCATAAGTCACATTTTGTCCAGAGCAATGCCTCAAAGCATCTATACCCTGTCCCCTTTACACAGACAGAACACTAAGACCAAGAGAGGAGGGACTGGCTGGAGGTGAAACGGAGGACAGACGGCAGGGCAGGGTGGCTCGGCTTTGGGCTTGGGGTCTTTACTATGCAACAAGTTCCCCTAACTTGTTGGGGTCCCTGGAGGATGTCTGCTCACTTTTCTAGCCTCCTTTACCTGTGCAAGTGTGGGGCTGTGTGAGTGAGCCACCAGGGCTTCTGGTTCAAGGAACAGCAAAGTCTATTTGCTGACCCTGGCCAGGAGCCCCTCCCACCCCAGCTCCTGCTCCCACCCCAGCTCCTGTTCCCACCCCAGCTTCTGTTCCCACCCCAGCTCCTGTTCCCACCCCAGCTCCTGCTCCCACCCCAGCTCCTGCTCCCACCCCAGCTCCTGTTCTCACCCCAGCTCCTGTTCCCACCCCAGCTCCTGTTCCCACCCCCAGCTTCTGTTCAGCCACCTGAGTGTATCACTTAAATGCACGTTGGGGGCAGTGGGGAGAATCTGGCTCTTCTGGGCAGGGGATCACTTCTACCGAAAGGCCCTCTCACCCCCCTCCTCCCAGGCCAGCTCTTGCTCCTCTTCCGGCCCAGTCCCTCAGCATCACATGAGAGGTGTCAATCTGCCCTACCCCCACGATTAGTACTGATTGCCAACTTGGCAGGGTGGACAATCACCTAGAGGAGAAGCCTCCAGGCTTCTGTGAGGGATTATCTAGATTAAGCTAACTGAGGTGGGAAGACCTACCCACCAGGCTGGACTCCAAACTGAATAAAAAGGAGAAAGGGAGCTGGGCATCAACACTCTCTTTGTTCTTCCTGCCTGCAGAAGCAATGTGACCAGCTGCCTGCAGAAGCAATGTGACCAGCTGCCTGCAGAAGCAATGGTGACCAGCTGCCTGAAGCCCCTGATGCCACGATGAACTGTATCTTCTCCAACTGTAAATCGAAATAATCCCTTCCCTCCTTAAATTACTTCTTTTCAGGTACCATGGCCACAGCGATGAGAAAAGTGACACACGCCCAGCCTGGAGTCCCAGAGCTCGGGACAGTACATCCAGAGGTATGACCTCCCAGATGTGGACATATCCCTAGGCCTCAGGGGATCCAGCCCTGACTCTTTCTTGCCCTCTCTGTTCCCTAGGGAATGTGTGGATACCCCCTCCCCTGCCGAGGCAGGAACCCCCTATACCTCCTCACTTCATTTATTTTTAAGCACAAGCCCATAAAACATTCACAGGCTGCTTTATTTACAGGTGGCAGGGTTGGCATCAGTGTTGCTGTGACACATCCACCAAGAGGCCCGAGCTCTCCAAGAGGACCCAGAGGGGACAGGCCAGGCCAGAGCCAGTTCCCCAGCGGCGCACTGGGCTCTGCCCTCTCTCCCCCTCTGTTTCCCCCTCCCTTTCTCTTTCCCTCTCCGCATCCTTCTCCCATACTCTTTTTCATCCTTCCCCTCCTCCTTCCCACCCTCCTCCTCCCCTCATGTCCTTCCCCCTCCTTCTCCCCATCCTCCTTCTCCTCCCTTTCTTCAGTTTCCTTCTCCTTCTCCTCCTCTTCCTCCTTCTCTTCTTTATCTTTCAGCTTCCTCTACTCTGAGTTCCCCATAAGGAGCCAAGCCCCCTGGAGTGTCCCACCAGAGAGAACAGGACTCACGGAGGGCATTCCTACTCTTCCTCCAGTCCCACCCCTGAGGCTTCCCACCAAGTCCCACCAAGCCCAAGTGATGGTCACTCTTGGCTCTTCTCTCTCCTGGCAGGGTCATGAGGGCCCCTGTATGTACTCCCACCCCGACCTGAAGCATAGGGCAGCTTGATTTCTTTCAACCCCCTAGTTGAGGCTAGCGTCTCCATTTTACATAGGAGGAAACCGCGTGCCTGTGTACCAAGTAGCCTGGAGCTGGCAGCCAGGTCAACAGGACTTCAAAGTGGGTACCCCACCCTGCCCTTCCTGCCTGGGATGCCACAGTCAGGAGTCACCCAGCCTTTTACCTCAGCTTCCAGGAAGTAAGGAGCTTGGCCTGCTTATGGCCCTTTCCTCCCCCTGGTCCCCAAGAGAAATGCAAAGACCTCAGTGCTTCATCGGGTCCTGGTGAGGACACTGTGGGGGAACAAGACAGGTAGGCTGGGCTCAGCCTCTGGTTGCCTGTCTACTCTGTGTGCAAGCGTACCTCCCACCCAGTGCTCAGGCTTCCTCTTGCCAGCAGTGGCTCCCCCTCTGGGCCCGAGCTCTAGGAAGGAAGGCAGCTCAGTCCTGACAATGCCACTTGGTGTCATGTGTTGGCTGGCTGCCTCCCAGCAAATACCCAGGAGGGCTCTCAGCTGTCATCAGGCTGGGACACAGAGTTGCCTGACACTGCGTGACACACCCCCAGTACCTCCAGGGTAATGGGGACCACCTTCCCTCCCCAACCCAACCAGGGGTTCCTTTCTACCCTTTTCTTGGGTAAGCAGAGTAGAACAGAACCTCCAGCGGCCCAAGCGGCTGAGAAGCACTTGCCTTAGGCTTCATTTCCAAAAGCAAAAAGTTTCGACAGCCTCGGAATGTGCCTCTATTGAAAGATTCCTTGCAACATTTCCCCTTGCAGAGGATGAAAGCTGGACACCGCCTTTCAGCATTTAGTGGGCTAACAGGAGGAAGAGACTGGAGAGGAGAAGTCAAGAGACTGCCTCTCTAAGAGGCAGACTGCCTTGCCTCTGGGGATGCCAGAGATTCAGCCAAAGCCCCCACCTCAAGCTGCCACCATTTCCCCTGAGACCAGAAGGGCAGGACAGCCCCCAAACCCTGGGTGGTTGTGGAGCCAGCCTACTCCCCCCATCACTCCCTGGCTGGTGACTTACTTTAGGGCCTCAGTTATACATCAGTAAAATGGGGGAGTACCTTAGCTCTTCTGAGGAGTCTTTTACTGAGAATTGTTGCACATGCTGGGGCACAATAGCACAGAGGAGGGATGGAGGAATGCAGTACCAGGAGGAATGTGAGGGCCACATTAAGGTGTGGAGGACTGTATGGGGGACTAAGAGGCAAGGACCACTGTAATCCAGAAGCTTGAGAAGACCAGCTGGGAACATAATAAGACCTTGTCTCAAACAATAACTAAATAGTGGTCGGGGCTGAGGCTATAGTTCAATCGATAACATGGCATGCATGAATGTTTGAAGGCCTGGGTGTGGCCCCCAGTACCATCAACTTGGCATGATGGCAAATGTCCTTGAGAGACGGAAGCAGGAGGTTTAGGAGTTCAAGGTCATCCTCAGCTAGGAGCCTGGTCTACCTCGCTCCAAAAACAAACTGGGGCTGGAGAGATGGCTTCTGTGGTTAAGAGCACTTGCTGCTTTTAGTGGACCCAGGTTCAGTTCCCAGCACTTTGTCTTCTGACTTCCTCGGGCACCAGGCACACAGATGGTATGCATGCATACATGCACGCAAAACACTCATACTCATAAAATAAATCATTAAAAACTTAAAAACATAAATACGGTAGGTAGATCAATAAATAAAAATAGAAACAGTGGTGGGTTAGAATTAAAAGAGCCAGGAGGAAGCAGCATATACTTCCTGAGGGGACTGCAGAGCTGTGAGGATTGGATGCCCTTGGGGATCTCAGAACTCAGCCCTCCCTCCTGGCTGGAATCTGGAATCTTAACAGCAGCACATCAGGCTCCCCCAGCATTCTCTCTGAGCACCTCAGGGTCTTCTTCCCAAGAAGCTGAAAATACTGGAGCTTGCCCTCTCAGCAGCCTCGTGAGCACAGGAGCCCCATCTCAGGCCTGGAGCTGGGGTAGTCTCCATGGAAAATGACAAGCTAGGTTGTTCCAGCTGATGGAATGCTACTAGCCAAAGGATGGACTGGAACACAGCAAAGAGAGACTACTCTGATAGGTTTAGCCACCAAACGTCCACAGGTGCGAAGAAGAATCTGTTTTGAAAATGGAGAACACCACTAGTGGGCCACTTAAGGGTGGCTCCTTACCCACCTTCAAGCTGGCTCCGTTTAGAAAACTGAGCACAGTTCTGTGGGTGGATGTTACAGCTATCATCTCGCTATCTGAGAAAACCAGGGGCCAGCGATACCCTCAGAACGCCTGGACACAGGGCAGCCCGTGGGCACATCAATCTGCAGCCATCACTGACCCCCACTCCCAGATGCAGGCTGACCTCTCCAGAAAGGAAGCTAGATGCATTTTGTATTTGTCATCTGCTCTGAGAATGATCAGGAAGGGTGTATATGCCTGGCCTGCAATCCCAAGGCAGATCTCTTACGACAAGTGTCCCAGGGAGCACCAACCACAATGGGCTCTGCTAGGCTACTGGTTCTGCTGAGCCAAGTTGCGCACATGAGAACACAATCGCCTGATACTGCTGCCTGGGCACCAGAAGGTCCCCCATGACACACTGCCCCAGGAACACCCCTACTCCTGCTCCAAAACTCTCATTAATCCTTCTGCCTCCCCCAGTTTGTTGCATCATGGGGTGGGGCTTCAGTTTTCCAGCTCAAGGCGACCTAAAGGGCCAAGGCCACCAGCCAGGTGGCCTAGCCAGGTCATCATTGGTCACTCAGCTGTTCAATGGTCCTTTGTGTGGTGACAAGATTGGCATAATGGGCACGTCTTAGAGCCGGCTGCACGCCCTTGGGGAGCTGCGGTACTGGGCTGGGGACTTGTGGCTGTGGGCCGCGGCGCAGGGGCGTGGGAGGCAGCGCCAGAGACCAGGCCACCCGGCTGCTCAGAGATGGGAGCCGCCGGACGAGTGAGGGAACCTCAATGACCTGCCGCAAGGGGCAGGGTGGCATGGTGGCGGGGCGGGGCGGAGAGGGCGAAACCCGGAGGGCAGCAGGAGGCGGGGTCCGCGCCTAGGACGCGGCGGGGCGGAGCGGGGCGTGGTGCCCCCCGGCAGGGCCAGGCCCGGAGGGGCGGAGCGGGGACGGGGCGGGGCGGCCGCACCTAGCTCCGGGCGAGCCCGGCCCGCCCTCCACCCTCTGAGCTCCTCAAAAGGGGCACGGGCGGCCAGCGGGTGGCGGACGGCGGCGCCGTCGGGGCTGGGGTGCGGCCGCCATGGAGCTGTGGCCGTGGCTGACGGCGGCGCTGCTACTCCTGCTGCTGCTTGTGCAGCTGAGCCGCACTGCCAGGTTCTACGCTAAGATCAGCCTCTACTGCGTGCTCTGCCTGTCCTTCTCCGCCGTGGCCTCGATCGTCTGCCTGCTGCGCCACGGCGGCCGCACCGTGGATAATATGAGGCAAGGGGGCCGGACGCCGGGATGGGTGCGCGCTTCCGCTTCCCTAACTTCTGCGCTCCTCGCGTTCTTTCCTTCCTGCCCCGCCCGCCCCGCTATCCTCACTGTCCAGAGCCTCCGACGACGCGGCTTTCCGTCCCGGGTCCCCAAGAGCGCGCGTCACAATGCGCCCGTGCCTGGCACGGCAGTGGGGCTCAGCACTCCGGCGCCCCCCTGCGCGCAACGTCGGGTGGCTGTTGGCGCGCGCCGCTAGCTTTGGGAAAGGGAGGGAGCTGGGCGAAGGTGGGACAGGCCCAGTCCCGCTTCCCTAGCAGGGAAACCCAGACCTGGTGCGGGGCTTCCGGTCTATTCTCCCACCTCTCTGCAGGTGAGAAGACACCTGTACCCAGGTGCAGCCACAGGTTCCCCTTGTCCTAACTTCTGGTGGGGCGGGGCGGGGCGGGGGGAGGGGGGAAAGCTGTCTTTGGACCAGGCTTGCTAGCAAAGAAGGAAGAAGTTGGGCTGTGGCCAAAATCCTCCCCTGGCCATCTCCCCGGAGCAGAGTACCTTAGTGAATAGGCAGAGGGTACATATAAGGGAATCAGGCTGAGTTAACCTGCCAGTAGGGGCTGCCTGAGAGTAAAAGGCCTCCAGCCCTATCTCCCTGTCCACATTGCTAGGAGACTGTTGCTACATTTCTCTCTGCCCTGTTTGGACTGTTGAGCTGGTGGGTTTTGCAATGTCCTGGCCTTGGACTTGGCTGGGTGTTTCGGAGGACCTTGTGGCCCCTGATGCCCCACCTCCTCTGCGGTGGTTATAGGGACTGTTTTCTGACTCTGTGCTGTACCTGCCCTTGCTAGTCTTTGGGGTTAGGACGCTGTCCTGACCAGCCATATTTCATGGGTTCCAGTCCTCATTTTTTCAGGGGCTTGTAGTGATCTATCACCTCCATCCAGTGTCCCTGGGAGCAGACTCCAGGAGCAGGCTAGGAGACCCCTGCACATAGAGACAGGTTCTCTGGCTATGCACATTTCCTGTTGCTTGGCCTGAGATTAAGGGGGTGTGGGGAACTACACGACTGTCAGTGAGCAGAGGGGTCTCCCCAGGGCACTTGAGAGCAGCAGGGGCCTGGTGGGCTTGGGGAGCACCAGGCATGTGTTTATCTCGGAGGAGGTGCTGCCCTTGCTAAACCAGACCAGAGAAAGCCAGGTCTGGTCTTAAGGGCAGCAGTCCTGGGCCTGTAACATCAGCTGTGGAGCTGATCTGTGCATTTTTTCCACCAGCCCCTGACTGGAGAGCTCTACAGTGGGTCCCTCCTCCTTGTGCTCTTGTGTGGCCTGCCCTGGTGGTCTACTGCTGTTGCCCAGGAGCCAAATCCAGGCAGCCTTTCTGAGGTGGTGACTGGATGTGGCAGACTGATAAAACCAGGATGGAGCCTCTTGTGCCACCCCAGCCCCTAACCCTCTGCCAGATTCCTCTGGGGTCCTGTGGGCCTTCCAGCATCCTCTCCCAGTTAGTGCCCTGTGGCCAGGGACATTGGCTGGGTAACAGCAGATGTTCTGCCCCCTGCTGGCAGGAAGGGAGAGCTAGAGGATGGGGGGGGGGGGGGCTGCTCCCTACCTCCCTATCCTGTCTCGGGCTCCCTGTCTTAAATCCTCCTCAATGAGTTGAGGTAGAAACAGCAGGCTCCTTGGAACATTGTGAGCATGACATCCTCCAGGTGTGACCACAGAGAGGAGTGAGTGCCAGAGAAAGGGACTGGATGTCCAGGAGGAGGTGGAGGCTTGCTTAGTA